TTCCTGCATCAACTCTATGCTGTCTGGCTGAGCAAAAACTGATCTTTCCAGACAACATCCAGTCTTGCTTTAAAGACCTCACGTGACAACTAGGTAAGTTGTTCCAGTGGTTAATTATGCTCATTGTGCACCATATTTCTAGTCTAAATTCCTTAAACTTCGGCTTCCAGCCACTGGATCTTGTTAATTCTTAGTCTGTTAGATGGAAGAACCGACTACTGTCAGAAATCTCTTCCCTCTGAAGGAATTTATAGACCATGATCAAGCTACTTTTTGAGAAGATCTTCTATTTGATAGCTAAACAGCTAGAGTCTTGCAAAGACATGTATTCCAGGCATCTGATCATTCTTGCAGCTCTTTTCTGAACCCTCTCCAGTTTGTCACGCTCCCTTTTAAAGTGTGCCTCTGCCCCCCGCAAGACCTGAACATGGTATGCCCGAATTAGCCCTAGAGATTTTTGTTCGGATGAACTTGACAAGGACGCTTGTGAACATTTTGCTGAGAAGTGCATTTCCTCTTTGATTCTCCTTAATGCTAATTAACTGTCAGTAGCATAGGGGGTCTGGGGTCATTCTGCAGGGGCAGTCCAAAGGAATGAGGGAGAGGGTTGCAGCACCTTTGTACTCTAGCACATAGTACCTAGGAGGCCTGGGGCAGTGAAAATATAATATAGACAGCCTGCTTTACATTACACCAGGAGCCAGGTTTGCATCTGAACACCCCCAAAATGTGGGAAGTACAAAGGTGGCTTAGAGGTCAGGTCCTGGAACAGAGGTTTCGGGGTCAAACTCTTTATATGAGGACCGTCCACCCAAATCCTTTTTCTTCCTCTGAGCACCTGGTGTTTGCTGAACAGGAAAGAAAAGGAAAGGGCTCAAAAGGAGTAACAAACAATGAGAAAAGGCAAACAAAATTATTACTGGGCACTTCCTAGAATAACATCACACTATCTTATGTAACACATGTGCTGTGAGACACAGCTTCAGTTTATCGCACAGTCTGGCATTGTCCCAAGGATGGTGCCTGGGAAATTAAGCAGAGAGCAGCTCACACTGATGAATTGAAGCTGACAACTGCGAGCATAGACCCAGCTAAGAAAAAGTAAGAGCATTCTACCGTTAAAAATGTCTTCGTCAGAATACGGTGCATGTGATTCGTAGGCATCCCAGGGATGGGCATCTATAATATATATAAATAGAATACCCTCCTTTCAGTTACTGCAGGGCAAGAGCTTGTATTTCTACGGGTTAGGACGCAAAGCCAGAAAACCAGATGTGGTCTATACTTCAACTACAAGCTGGTGAGCTCGATGCAGGGATCCCTGGGTGAGCTACTCTGGTCTGTGTTCTTCTGACTAGATAATCACAATGGTCTTTTGTGGCCTTAAAATCTATGAAACTGGGGCTTTAATTCATGTGAAAGATATCTAAGCAGAGCTGGTTGGAATTTTACATCCGAAACAAAGCGTGTCAGAGAATGCTGATTCATCCAACATGAAACCTTCAGTAAATCAAAGTCGGGGTTCCATGGAAAACCTGTCAGCTCATTGGGGTGCTCAGGACCTCCGTTTTCCAGGGAATACAGCACTGAGGGGACTTCCGGTGCTTTCACGCTCCCTGCAATAGAGTTAGGAACCGGAAGCCCTGGGGTGGGCTTCCAGGATCAGCTCTCCTAGGGCAAATCCACCATGCAGACTGCCCCCCGATAACAACAACCGTGAAATTCACAAGAATGTACGTTTCGCTCAGCAGCTGTGGGGAGTAGCTTTTGTGTCAGAAGCACCATGTGTCAGTGTTTCTTAAATGAATTTGTTTTCGAGATTTCCAGTTTGCAGGAAATGTTAAAAAAAAAACATTACAATAATAGATGTATTCCCTCGGGCACTGAACCAAAGCAAAATTTCCTGTGAACTGCAAATCCTGCGTTTTGGCAAGCTCTAGATCTAAGTTCATGGGGTTTTCACTGTCCTTTCTTGCACTATTCACCCTTCTTAGATTCCCCTCTGGTACCCTCTTTCTACCTTTCACAACTATGTATGTTTGCCTTATAAACGTCTTAAAAATGCCAATGTTCTACTATGCTAGATTCCTCCCACAGGCCAGGGGGTCCCAGTGGAAAAAATAACTTGAATTTCTCAAGTGACTAGAAAAAACCCAGTTCACAAAATAAAGGTCGTAAGTGTGCTAAGCACCTGGAGCAGAAGCGCCGCCTGTTACAGGATTGGGCTCCTGGAATGCTGCCGAGAAGCAGATATGAGCCCAGAGCAGTTTCATATGGCCTTAGAATTGGGGTTAGGGTGTGAAGGTTTCAAAAGCCAAATCCATATATCGTAACTGGTTCTTATCATTGGACTTGACCAAAGTGAAACCCTGGCTCCGATTCCCTCCTCAGGCTTGGGGGTGTTGGATGGTTCCGATTTTTGCAGTTGATGCCCCTCTCTGCTAAGAAGCCATCTACGCTGATGTGTGTTTTGATGCATTAAAATGCGCAATCATTTATTTCTTGGACAAAGCGTTACCACAGAAACAGCCAGTTCAGACTCCTCCGGATTCTTCTTTAGTGACCTAAAAGGCAAAGTAGCACAATTAAATAATTGAATTTTAATGTGGAGTGGAAAAGCGTAGGAAAGATGGGGTTTCTTAAGATATTTGGCAAGAAACCAAGACAAAAGGTGGAGCAGGTGGCTACTACCTAGCATTTCTTTCCAGACGACAGTGTAACATGAAATGGGAGGAGGAGTGCTCTAATTTGTTGCGTTATGATAGGAGCTGTTCTAGCTATATAAACTGGTGGGGCACTTGTTCTACTATCTCTAGCTCAGCACACATTCTTTAATAGATAGTCAGATACTGCATAGCAACAGCTGCCCTGCTGGACTCAGCTGGAAGGTAAGAAGAGTTTGTTTTAATGCAGAGCTTGAATGTCTTACGTATCTGTGCATTTTTCCCGCGAATAGGAAAATACAGACAGTTAAAAAAAACTCTTGAATGGAAGTAAATGAAAGTAAATAAAGCCGATTAGAGTAAGTGAAACAGCACCCGGGGACTGCCTCAACCATATTCATTACCAGCAGTTTTCTGCTAGGCACTGTAATTACATTTAACTCGACTGACTGTACCTTTGATAAATGCATCCTTTGTCTCTTATCTGTTCTGTTTACTGCCTTTTAATTTTGCAAATGAAAAATGACAAGTCAAAACTGATCAGGATCAACTGTGATAGCAAAGCCAGAGATATTCTAATATTGGACAGATCTTTGCAAGGTGAACGATGGGTGGATTTAATGAGTGTTTGATTGTCACAGTTGAGCTACATTTGAAATGTGTGTTTTAAGAAGGCATTTATCTATGAGCAATGGGCTGGAATTTTTAAAAGGCAGCAGGTTTAAAACAAAGAAAAGGAAGCACTACTTCACACAATACACAGTCAACTTGTGGAACTCATTGCCAGGGGATGTTGTGAAGGCCAAAACTATAATTGGGTTAAAAAAAGAACTACATAAGTTCACGGAGGAGTGGATCATCAATGGTTACTAGCCAAGATGGTCAGGGATGCAATCTGATGTGCTGAGTGTTCCTAGTCGCTGATTGCCGAAAGCTGGGCGTGATTGACAGGGGATGTATCACTGGATGATTGCTTGTTCTGTTCATTCCCTCTGAAGCAATTGGCATTGGCCATTGTCGGAAGACAGGATACTGGGCTAGATGGACCATTGGTCTGACCCAGTATGGCCGTTCTTATGGGAAATCACCAAACACCAATTTAACCATAAATTCCTTTATTAAATCCAAAGGCCAAATGATACTTTATGCAGTAGCTCTAAATATATCTAAGAACCTAAAAATGAGCAGTGACTACACCCAATACAGTAACAGAGTATTCTTAAGTATGTGATTAGTATTCTTACAAATAGGCCAGACCTTGGGCTGACTCTCTCATTCTGGTGTACTCCAGCCAGTACGCGGGTTTACCATGGTGCCACTGGCACCATAGTGCCGGGCCCAGGCTCCAAAGGGGCCCCGGCTCAGCCCGCTCTGCTTGGGCTACAAGGCCCCGAACACTCTTCTCTGCCCCGCCCTGTCCATCGCTCTCTCCTGCGGGGGCAGATGCTTGGTCCTGCTAGCTCCTGGGGCAAGACAGGCTCCGCCTGCACCCACCGACAGCAAAGCTCCCCCACATCTTCTCCCGAGAACACCACGTTCCCACCCCTTCCCCTCCCTCCCAGCGCTTCCCCCGCCACCAAAACAGCTTTTGCCAGCGCTCTGGGAGGCAGGGAGAGGAGCGCTGCACCCTAACTCCTGGCCAGACCCTGCACCCCAACCCCCAGCCCACTCCTGCACCCTAACTCCCTCCAAGACCCAGCACCCCTGCCCTGACTCCTGCACCACCCTCACACACCCACCCCCTGCCCTGACTACTGCACCCCCCTCACACACACCCACCCCCTGCCCTGACTCCTGCACCCCCC